ATATATTTGGAATATTTATTCTAATTATTTTTTTCTAAGAAATCGAATTTCTCAATGGAATTCTTGATAAAAATATATGATTTGGGATTTATTTCGAAGATTTATAAAAATAAATTAAATATATATATATGGATTTCTATTTTTTATTGATGAAAATAATTATTCGATTCAATTTGTTTCATCTTCTAATTGGCACCGAGAAAAGTTGTCCCAGTCGATGCAGTCGACGGTAGAAAGTAATAGATAGTGGTAGTAGTAGTAGCAGTAGTAGTAGTAGTAGTTGTTGTTATTAGTAGTAGGTAGTAGTAGGTAATAATAAATGGGAATAAGGGGTAGTAGGTGGTAGTAAGTGGCAATAAATGGTAGTAGATGGTAATGATGATTCCACAGAATTATTTAATTATAAATTTATGGTATTTAATCGGAAGAATATTGAATTATTTAATTATTATTTGATAAATAATAATATATAATAATATATTTATTTATTGTATTTTATTTTTAATTGATATTTTTTAAATAAGATATCGGGGGAATTAGATATTCTTATTATATAAAATTAATTTTATATAAATATATATAGTTTTCCTTCGGCATAAATTATTTATTCCATATAAATATTCTTTTTTTGGATGGGGAGAAATCTGAAATAATTTATTTCTATTTTTATTTTCCTGATGATATCATCGAAATATTATTATTGTTTAATTTTAATAATTAATGGCCGAATATTTTTTTTTAATTTCAACAATATTTTTATGAATATATTCTTATTTATTTATTATTAATTATTTTAATAAATATAAAAATATTGATATTATTATATATATTATAAAATATATTTATATTTATATATTTAATTATTTTCATAATATTTAATATATATATATTTCATATTTAAATTTATAAATTTATTAATTTGAATATATATAAGATTTAAATTGATATATTTATTATATAATAATTTAAAATTATATAAATATTTATTATATTCTATTTATATAAATATTAAATTAAGAAATATTTAAATATATATTTATAATTATATATTATAATTATATTTTTTATAATTTAATATATTATATATTTATTATTTATATATATATATAGATTATTTTAATTATTTATATTATTTTATATTAATTTATCCAAAATAAATTTATAATTTCAAATATAAATTCAAACTATATATATATATTAGATAATATAATTCATATTAAAATTATATATAATTATTAATAATCAATATATATATAATATATA